GCACTCAAATCACCTTTCTTCCCCATACTGATGCTCGGTTTGAACTGCAGGAGATTGTCTTGACCATGTCTACATGCCTAAATGCACTGAGTTGCTGCCATGTGAATGGCTGATTAGAAATTAAGTGTTAACGAGCAGTTGGACAGGTGTACCTAATAAAGTGGCCGGTGAGAGTATATACAGTATATAGTATAAACAAGTGCACATACCTCCTTAAAGAGAGAGTAAAAGAGACCTCTTTAAATAAAATGGTTGAAACTTTTGTTGCAACACATTTATAAATAGTTAAAAACCATGCAGAAGTTAACAGAAATGGCTTCAGACTTAACAAGATTTAAAATTTGTATTTTGTTGAAGGCTCATTTTCAAGAACCTGCACTACAATTTCAACTTTCTTTTGCTTTATGTTTTAGTAATAGTAATGTCACTTTGCAATAGCAATTTTAGAGGATATTTTAAAATTACATTAGGCAAACTGTACCCTTTCGCTAAATTCTGGTGAAAATTTTCAGCGAAGCAGACACTGATCACTTTAGCAAGATCAACAAAAATACATCTGAATGTTTTTTAATTCTCATCTAAGAAGTTTTATTACCTAATTTCCCTCTGGGATCAATAAAGTATTTTTGAATTTGAATTGAATTGAATTTATCCACAAGTAAAAGGTCTATTATCTAATCTACTCAGTCTACAGCTAGAAGCTTAATAAACAAAGCAGAATTACTTAAAGTATAGTCCCATTTCAAATAAACATAACTTTGAAAATGTATATCAAAATTAAATTGACAAGATTCCAGTTAATTGCTCTTTTATTTATTTGCCTATTTTTTAAAATTAATATTGGTCTTGTAAAATTTGGTAATTTTTTAATATAGATTATGAGCAGTTTGGTCTAAGTTGACATCTGTGCTTTTATATCCATTGTAAGTAAGCATGTCCTGACATGACTCAACACAGAAGACTTTAATCCCCCTGCACCACAGTGTAGTATATATACTATAAATGGATTTATATTGCATCAAGCAAAGTTTGGAAATTAAATCTGGCTTCCTGCATGCAATCACAAAGCCCACTGGTGATGGCCGGCTGTGCTGGGAAATGCCCAGGCCCCTTGGCAGAACCACAGATGGTGACTGGGTGAAATGCTGGATAATCACTACCCATGTGAGGAATAAAAAAACAAGATGTACCATAGAGGGAGATTACCAGAATGGAAAAAAAAACAATAAGTCAGAGGCAGAATACAGACAGTGAGGTAACTGGCCATAATATAAATAATTTAAACCTTGATGGTTTTACTTGATCCGCTTTGGAAGATTGGAAAATTTCTCTAAAAGTCATCGTCATGACCATTGTGATCTGAGAGAGCTCAACTTGAATGAGACTTAGAGATGGGCTAATTTTGGTTTAGCTGCAATCAGCAAGATTTAAAGCCATTAAAAAGAGCCAACCCTTTGGAATAAAACCTAATAATTTATTCTTATTACTGTGAAATACATGATTTCGACCGTTGGATTTACAAGCATTGACTATCTCACAAATGAAGCACTTTAAAGTCCAGTCAAATCTCAAATAATGGATTATCTGTACGCTGCTGCTTAATTCTTACCTTCTCTTGGTACTGCCTGCGTGACGAGTCCAGTGACTGGATAAGAGCAGTAGCATGGCCCACAAACATAGCGTAGCACGTGGCGCCTACGATCATGCTCAGCATGGTGATCCACAGGTCAGACATGCTGACGGGGGCCCGGGCACCATACCCGATGCACAGCATGTGGCTCATGGCTTTGAAGAGGGCGTAAGAGTACTGCTTCCCCCAGGACACGTTCTGCAAGGACAAAGAGATGGAGGAAGTGGGGGACGGAGGGACAGAGAAGGGTTGGGGCGAGTTACTGCAAGGCAAAGCAGGGAGGAAAAGAAGGCTTCTCTTTGATGGATCACTGAATCTTAGCCAAACATTCTGCCGACATACACTTCAAGCCTGAGAGCTTAATGGCCTCATTCTATCTTTTTATTAGCTTCCTATCCATGCTATTACAGAGCAGAGACCTTCCTGACCTTCATTGTTCTGTTTATCAGAATCTCAAATACAGAAAAAAAAGAAGAGGAATAGTGACTCCTTTAATTGTTTGAGGCGTAGGTGCTCTTCACATGGTCCTAACATCATATTGAGTACAGTTTGTAAGCTGCCTGTTATTTTTGTATCCAGCTGGGTTTTAGAACAGAAATATATTTCTTAACCACAACTTTTGAAAAACCCAGTCTGTTTTTCTTATTTAAGGACACACTTAAATGGTGCTTGCTTAACAATTGATAGTCCGGTGCAAAAGCTAATAGCAAATACAAGAAATGGTTGTTAATTAAAGTAATTAGGATGATTATGAAAGTACAGCCCTTGAGGTCCCCTTCTGTTCATTAGATGTCATAAATTTGAAAAACAACTAGTAAAATACATCAACAAAAGCACTGCACAGATTTTTCTTTAACACGAGTTCAATGTGGCTATTAACCTGCAAGAACCCACAGACTCCTTAAAATTTGGTCAAATTTAACATGTTTAAATTTAGGTGAAACTAGCTGCTTTGAACAATTTTAAATCTTAGTTTTGGGCAATCTGCAAAGCATTGTTAGAAGAATCAGGTTGGACCCTGAGAGCTGAATCTCATCATCTTTTAGGGTCAAGTTGGTTTAGTGAAAAAGACTCATAAAGCACATAAAGGAAACAAGGTAATGTGTCAAATTTAATCCCAAATGATTAACAGGCTCACTAGGTTGATAGATATTTTGTGTTTGATTAACTGAATTTTAGATGTAGTCTTAAATTTTATACTTTGTGATCGATCATAGTCGTTTACTTTAAACAGTAAAAGTCTATTTAATATGTGCCTCACTCCAGCAGTGTAAACATAATTTACATTTCAGGTATTCCAATGCTGTCATAAGAAGGACCAACCCCAGGAAGTGTGACCAGGTTTTCTATGAACAGTGTTAAGCTCAAACGGATTTTTGTTTAGACTTCCGAAGCCACAGACAGGCTTGGAATGAAATATAGTGTTTAGATCTGAAACTAATAATTTAACTCAGAACTTAATAAGTTGTCTTCATTTTATTCGGGCTTCCAATCTGAGCAATTCTTTACGAGTATTCAAAATGTACAACTCATTCCTAAACTTTCCTTTTCTCATCATTTTTATGTGCACCAATGGGTATAAATACAGTATAACTGTAAGGCAGAAAATCTGAAATATGCATCATTTTAGACTTTATTTAAATGATTATGACTTTGCACTTCTCTTGATAATGTCAGATATTTGAATTATGCTGTTTGTTATGGCTTCAGAATTGTGCTTTGGCCTTTAGGCAGAGGTTTTTTTGTTCCGTTTTGAACAAAAAAAATGCCCTTTAACTATGAGTAATCTCATTAAGAACAACCTCCCACAGAGATTTGAATGTAAAAGCCATTAAAATTGGTTAATGCAACACCATTATCAGGTAGTGTCGAAATAACAAGCTTGAAAGTCTTAGTAGTTGCATTTCAGATGCCTCAAATATCTTTTGTTCCCTTTGTTTAATGGTATAAGCCATGAGAGTCATATCTGGAAGTGAATACAGCACATATCCAATGTAAAAAATGTGACTTTTTCCCCTCGGGGGCATGCAGAGATCCAGTGGGAAACTAAACAAGTCCTCTGAGGTTTCAAGACCCTCTAAATCTCCTGTCTGAAACCAAATGCGACAGCTCTCCAGTAGAAGTCTCGGAGCTACAACCAAACTGCTGATTCCTCCAATATCCTCATGACAAAAATACTGAGAATTTGGTTCATACAGAAAAAAAAAGATCTCAGCCACAAAGAGAAAGGTTAAACAAAGTTCACAGCTCAGTAGGAACCTCATTACACTGGTCAGGGTTTGAGCATTAGACAAACTGAGTGAATACAACATGGTGACATTTCTTTTATGGCCGCTTTTCTTTCATTTGACTTTAAAACTGCATATTTACCATTTAATACGACCAGTAAACAACTGTGAACATACTGCAAAGTTTGAAAACAATTCTCAGAAACTAGAAACAACAAAGCAGAGATTTAACAACCACGGATGATTGTTTCGTTGAGCTGGAAAACGAATGGAGCAGCTCAGATCGCCTGCCTTGTCCTAAAGCCTCAGTAAGAAACTTGCAGCTCAGTTGGATAATTTCTTAGACAGGTTTTGTTTAACACTCCATACTCTGCGTGCAGCTAAGATATATGAGCTGGTGAGCAGCTATTTCAATTTTTAATCCGCATGTGCAATAACTACATTTATCCTGAGATCAAAATATAATTGTTTAATGTTGTAAAGTAACTCCACTTTCCTGATTTTCATCAAATTTAATATAAAAATAGCAGACATAGGTGCATCAACACTGAAACAACTGTAACTGAAAATAGTGCAATCTCAATATTTGAGCTTTTATTGTAACAGCAGAAGATTTTTGTGCTGTGTGAAATGTTGCCATTACATGCTCTGGATTGACGCCTGACTGTAATATAATGTATATGGCACATATCCTATTGTGTTACATCTCCTTTTTGTCAGTTCTGCTTCGCTCCTCACGGTGCATTGCAGACATTTGGCAAATGAGCAAATTGACAGCTAATCATTTTCCATGACTGAGTCATAAACATTCATCTCCGTGCTGATTATTTGTTTCTTCCACTGACTGATAAGACTGAGGATAATTACCTCTTTTTGCTTCGATGAACAAAATAGGGTCTACTTCATAAATAATGAAAATTCTCTTTAAAAAGCCAACAAAGCATCGCCTCCAGGTATGTTTGGATACAAAAATGAATATTTTTTTCCTTTCAATATCCACAAGGTTTGGTGCAATTATAGCTATTGTAGCTGCAGAAAGAACACAAGTCGTTCCAGAGTTCAAAGAAACATTCTGATCATCCATATTCTAACTTTTTATTATGATGGATGTGAAAGCTTTATTAAATCTATGATGACACTTATTTTCTACAAGTTCAGTTGCTTGTTGATATGTCAGAGATGTAATCACATCCTTATTGCGTGTCACATAGTTTGTGTGTTCTAATCGTGCTTGCGTGGGTTTTCTTTGGGTACTCCGGTTTCCCCCACACCCCTAAAAACGTGTACAATAGGTTGCCTTCAGGCCCAGGCCTCTTTTGAAAAAGAGATTTGAGATCTCAACAGGACTTGCCTGGTTAAATAATGATAAATAAACAAATTCATGTCACTTATTAACAATAAAGCATGTTGAAGAAGAATACTGTAAAGTCTTTAAATATAGGAAGATTCAAGCTCAGTGATGTTACAGACAGAAATGAAACAATTCATCCAGTAACTCGAATAACTCAATTAGAAAAAAAAAAACACGTAGGCAAAAATTTTTGATCTGATACATAAACAACACAATAGCATAATTCTCTGTGGTCACTGTGTTTCAGATGGACACTTACTACTGTTGGACAACATGCTTTATGATACCTTAAAGAGCATAAAGTGTTTTATGTATGTGTGGGAGGCAAGCTAGTCTTGGAAACGGGGGTCCACCTTGCTGGGTAATGACACAGAAATGATGCCACGCCAGTCAGATGTTGGAAAACCAGGACATTCTGAGATGAAATAGATTACTACAACAAGACATTCATGGGTGAAGGCAGAGAACTTAATACACATATTACATGAATGCAGGTGTACTTAAAATGTTCACTAAAATACCTTTATTGGATTAATAGCGAATAACTGAATTCATCGTTTGTGGTGCATAAAATAATGTGAAGTTCTGACAGACAGAAGGGGAGGAACTGTTTTTACTGTAGTTACAAGTTGGGGGCTTTCAGGTAAAAAGGCCGAGAACACAGACATTGCATTTAGATATTAATTTACTCCAATAATTGACAGATTGTTCAATAAGGCACCTGATAACTACAATATTCAATAGCTACGGCCCTAGTTACAGTTTTAACTTGTGAATCCTTTCTAATTGACATATGTGACTCAGGCAGTAATCTCATTATAAATTCACACAGCTTTAACTTTATAATAAGTAATTGTGTGTCACGTTTCAAAGATGAAGCGGGAGTTTGTTGTTCCAGACTCCTGCAATAGTAACATCCCTTCACAAGAGCTCACTGAGTTCAACAAAGACGTTAAATAAAGCAGAAGCAAAGCAGCAACCTTTCTTTGTTAAATCTCTGTGTAAATTGTTTCACTGTTTGCTTTAATTTAAGTTTCTGTTGTCTTTAAGTAATTTGAGGTTAGGTAGAAGCTTCCCATGACCCTGAAAAGGAAAAAAAAGTTCAGAAAATAGATGGATATATAATTAGATATAAGGCAAGCCGTTACGATTACATATAGTCGTACATAAAACCAAATGGATGCATGTTTCATTTTAGTAATTATCAAAACACATTAGAGTGTCGTTTTCTCAACTCCAGAATAAGTGATTGCAAGCATAAAACTTGAATTACAAATGATTTAATTTGTTGCATTGGTGTATAGCCTCTCTTAGGAAAAAGTGAGTCAATGTGCCACTAATGCATTTTTTGCCATAATATTTCTAATGATTAGCTGTACAGTTCCTTCTACTTTAATAAATCTGTCTGTGCATTGTATTTATTTCATTCTAAATGCAAGAACAGTTTGTAGCAGAATAGGCGGCATCAGATAGCTTATATAGTGTTTACTTCTCAGCACGTTTCATTGAACACTAAAAAAAATTAATTGCTTATCTTTACAACTTAAGTAGCTGTTTCAGAGTTTCTATAATTTGATGCTGCCCTGCATTTAGCAGAGTCCCTGTGTCTGTAACAGCTT